ACACCTGGCTATTTTCTCACTCTTGCTCAGCCTGGTCTTGAACCTGTGAGCTGAGGCAATCCATCTGCCTTGGCCTCCCAGAGTGCTGGGATTATAGGTCTGAGCCACCATGCCTGGCCTAAACTTAGCTGTTTTTTTTTTTTTTAATGACTTTAGTCTTTACTTTTATCATGAAATAATATTTATGATTCCAAAAAAGGTAATTAGTTCCTTTGGAAGGTGTGGTTTTTTTAAGAGAAATAATTTAAGATATAATTAAATTTAAAATAAGTGGATAATTTAAAATAGCAAAAAAGAAAGTTGGTCAAGTTAATTTCCAGTATGTAGTATATTTTTATAATTTTATTGCTATTTTACAAAATACCAAAATTGTTAGTACAGTTATTCTTTTGGACTTTTTATTTGAAAAAATTAATAACTTTTAAGGTTCTTAATTTTTGTTTTTATTTTTAAATTTTCCTTGTGGGTTTATTGTTATATTAATAGATCTGACTGCTAAATTAAAAGCTGAGTGATTTTTATCACAATGACTATTTTTTTATTCTTGGATTTTAGTTTTTTCATTCTGATTACTGCCTAGGTCTTCCTGACATTTGTGATAGCATTCTGGAGAAATGGTTGAAGGAAGGTTACATTAGACAGAAGCCTGATCAAGTGACCATAAATCAATATGAACCTGGACATGGTGAGCATTTGAAAACTGCAGTGATGTATTTCAGAACTAAGCAGGCTGTGTAACTCTTTCACACTAGTTTCTTTCTGTGCTGATGTTTATGTTTTCACCCGTGTTGACCCCAGCCCTTTGCAGATCTACACTTCAGTCCCTTGAGGAACTTTCTTCTTAAAGTGTAAACAGTCTGACACAAACCAGTTTGTGATTTTTTTTTTCTTTTTGTTCCCTCAAAATTTCACTTAGAGAGGGAAATAATGGCTTTAAACATAGGAGACATGTACACTGGAAGACACCAAATAATGTACAAATCCAGAGAAGAAGGATAATTGGATGATCTTTTCCCTCCTTTGAGAATGTGGAAGTCAATTTCAGGATGCCATGTTGGTGAAAAATCTTTACGTTACTGATTTCTTATACTTAAAAATTCGTAGCATCTTCATCTGATATTTGTAGTAATCAAAGGATTTTAAGGCTTTTATTTATTTATTTATTTTGGTTTAAACCACAGAAGTTTATTTTCTTCACAGTTTGGAAGCTGGGAAGTCCAAACTCCAGGGGCTGTGGATGGAGTTCCCATGGAGGCTCCGCCTGGCCCGCACCTTCTCAGGGTGCTCCCAGGCCTTCTCTCCCCTGTGGTGTGCAGGATGGACAGGACTTCCACTTCTCACGAGGCCATCCATCTTCCTAGATTAGGACCCCACACTTATGGCCTCTTTAATTTAAGCCTTTTATTAATGGCACGAGTTAGAGTTTTGTTTTCTCTTCTATATTCATCATAAGGAAAACTGAAGGCAAACATGGCTTTAGTTCTTTAGCCAAGTGAACTTGTTAATGCTTCACCTCTGAATTATAGAGACATTCTGACCTTGTCACTGGCACAACAAGGACAACTGGGGACGTCCCCTGTTGAAACAGAGGCTGCTCCTCTAACGCAGGACATGGGGAGCTTGCATTAGTTCCTTCAAACCAGCTGGTTCTGAAAAAGAGAGGAAATAGCCAAGCCAAGTGAGCTTGACTTTGGACTAACCAAATCAGCTAAGCCTAAGGCATTCTTTCTTTACTTTGGTCTCTAAGCTTCTTGAATATTGTCCATAAGGAAGTGTCTTGAATATGTTCTATAAGCTTCTTGTCTTGCTTTGTGCACCCTCGCCCTGTAGCAGGGTTTCTACTTTAGGGCTACTCACTTAACGTAGATTGATAATCAGTGGAGGAAGCCTTATCTTAATTCTTGATTCTGCTTTTGTTCTGGAAGTACTTGGGAATCCAATGTTCAAGGGGAAAAAAATGACTTTGTGCTTATCTTTACATCTTCCTCTTGGGCTAGAATGGGTAAGTGTCCTCTTGAGGCAGTCGCTCCCAACCCTTGATTTTAGAATCAAGTCTCAATGGCGCTTTAACTTGAAGTTGATGTATTTTTAGTTCAGATGTAGTTTAACATGTTATAGTCATATTCACCCTAAATATTTATTTTAAACTATAATTATAGTACCTTCCCAGTTGCCAAACAGTGTTTTCACCCTACTAGTATGAGGCTATAATTAGAGTCATCTTGAATCTTCTACAAGGAAACGTGAAGTGACATGTCCTCTTTTTCATCTTAGGGATTCCCGCTCACATTGACACACATTCTGCTTTTGAGGATGAGATCGTTTCTCTCAGTTTGGGGTCAGAGGTAAATCTTCAGACATTTCTACTGGGGATCGGCATACGTCTTACCTGGGCAATGCCCTCTTCATAGGACTACCCACATTCTTAATTAAAATTACTTAAGATTTAAAAACATAAAGTAAGGGCACTGTTAACAATTTGACTTCTTACAGAATGTGAAATTATCGCAGCCTCTTCATTTGGATGTCCAAAGTTTTATCTGTCAGCTCTTCAGATGCCAGGAAAACACTCGTAATTTAATATATATTTTTTTTAGTTTATTCATATCACGGCAGTTAAGTAAAATCTAGACTTAACTTTGGTACATCGTGGTCAACTTTTTTTTTGATTTGCTGATATAGCATTGCCATCTAGTGGCAAAAGGTAATAGCTGCAGGCCATATAAAAAGAAAACTACTAAAATGTATATGTACAGAATTCAATAAACTTTTAAAATATATTACCTGATTTAATCTTTTCAAAAACTCTGAGCAGTAGGGGGTAACATATTCATTTTTACAGATAAAAATAAGGAGTCATGTTTCTTTAATTTTTTTTTATAGTAGTAGTTTCTCCAATTCTTAAGAAGTTAAAAATGTGATTTAAAGTGATTCATGTGGACAGGATTTTAGATAAATTAGATAATTTTGATAGAATTTAAAATTTTAAATCTAAAAGAATCCTTAAAATATGAGGTCATCTAATCTTATTAGAGGCTGCATTAAATTTTGATTCTGTTCTGGATGATACTTTTTGCTAGTTAGTATTCGTATAGTTCCCATCAGTGCTTTGGCTTCTTAACCTTTGCTAACTTTGAGTGAACATGTTGATATTGTGACTGGAGAATTAGTGCTATTAGTTTGATATGATAAAATCATCTTATCAACTACATGTGTAGATTCTAAGTATAGGCCTTTGAATTAGGTGCTTTCAAAAACGATGAGGATGAGGAGGAAGGATAAAGAGCTTATCTCTGTCTAGTTTAGTTTTATTTTTATCCTCTATCCTTGCTTGTAGCTTTAGGTGACAAATGAAGAACCTCTCTGCTTTCTCCTCCCAACTGTGTAGCCAGTAGAGAAATGAGACAAAGATCATTGGAGAGAGAGTGTCAGCTTACTACTGACAAAACTGATGACAGAACATGGCTTTAGATCCGTAGCCAAGTGGACGTGTTAATACTTCACCTCTGAATTATAGAGACATACTGACCTTGTCACTGGCACAAGTGGACAACTGGCGACCTCCCCTGTCTAGAGAGGCTGCTTCTGTAACATGGGACCTGAGGAGCTGGCCTTAGACCCTTCAAACCTGCTGGCTCTGAAAAAGAGGAAAGGGCTGAGCTAAATGGGTTTGGTTCTAACTAACTAGCCAGCTAAGGCGTTGCTTATTTCTTGGGGATTTGTAAGTGAAGGGGTGGAGGAAAGCTAGGATTGTGCTTTCACTTTTTACTCGTAGAGAAATTCCCTCCCCTCCCAGGGAAATACGAGGTATGAGGACTCAATATCCCATCACTACTCTACAGTTTTTATTTAGAATTTGTAAAAAGGAAAATCTGCCCTTAAGTAAAAATGAAAATCTGGTGCAATCTTTGCCTTCATTTGGTGTTTCTGGAGACATGCAATTTTCAGCTGCCAATTTGAATGATGGAATTTTTGGTTAAAGCTTTTTTTGTAATACCTGGAAAATATGCAAGTTATAAATATGAGAGGAACAGTAGATTTTCTTTTAAAAATAGCTTTTAAGGGAAAGAGATTCTTTGTAATTGTGAAAAAAATGTTTACTAAACATTTCAGTCTATCATGCTATTTGAAACAGACTACTAAATTTTGGCCTTTATTTCATCTATCCAATGGGGTCAATAAAATGGGGTTAGTAATATTTCTTTCCTGCTGAAGGGTTGTGATGGGAATAAAATGAATTAATGTATGGGAAAAGTTTTTCAAACCCAGAGCAATCCATACATTTAAATGCTCATTAAGGAAGCTTGTGCCAGGGTTCTTTACTTGTAGCCTTCACTTCTGTAACAAGGGGAGACTCAGGGCCTAGAAGTGGGGTTTCCAGCGTCACAAGAAAGATGGACTAAAACTCCTGCACTCTGCTTTACTGGTTTTTTTTTTTTATGCTATGAATTTTTTTTTTTATGCTTGAATTTTCTTCTAGTAACGTCTATGTAGTTACTTAAATTCTCTTCTGGCACCTTACTTTAGACCTAGAATCTGCGTACCATACCTTTATACCTATTGCTTTTATTGTTTTTTTGTCTTTGATATCAGTTGTTTTAAGAAATTTACTGTGACTGTAACAGCTTCCCTTTCATTATAATGATTTTGTCAAAGGCATCATTGTTTGTTTGGGTTTTTGTAGTGGTTTTGTTTTGTTTGTTTCTCCTCAGCAAAAATCCTTGAAGTAATCTTTTATTTTTTCTCTTTCCTGGGACATTTCTAAGATCCTTCTTAATTCTTTTTTTTTTTTTTGAGAGACAGAGTCTTACTCTGTTGCCCTGGGTATAGTGGTGTGGCGTTCATAGCTTACAGCAAACTCAAACTCTTGGGCTCAAGTGATTTCTCTTGCTACAGCCTCCTGCGTAACTAGGACTGTAGTTGCCTGCCATAATGCCTGGCTAATTTTTCTATTTTTAGTAAAGACAGGATCTTGCTCTTGATCAGGCTGGTCTTGAACTTCTGAGCTCAAGTAATCCACCCACCTCAGCCTCCCCAAGTGCTAGGATTATAGGTGTGAGCCACTGCACCCGGACCTTTTTTACTTTTCAAATGCTCCATGTGAAAGTGTTCCCATGAACACTTTAACTTTAATATAAGTGTTACAGAAGTGCCTTATTTTTATGACTTCTTGAGCATATTTATAAAACTCCAACAATATATCTAAAAGATGGTGTACATTTCATAGTAAGCCAGACTAGTCTTGCTTTTTTCAAATATATTAGTTTTGTCTATACAGCTAAGTTGTGATTTTCTTTAATGCTTTTGCACCTCTAAAAGTTTCACAGGTAGATACATTTGTGTTACATGATATGTATAAAAATGAGGATGCTTTGAGTTGCAAATAATAGCTGAATACGCAAATGAAAGTGATTATACAGCAAATTCAAGCTAATATTTCGTAAAGATGTTTCACGGAAGGCTAGTTCCAAAAGTTTTAATTTGTTGGTTTAGCTCAGTGATTTCATCAAGGAGCCAATCAGATTCTTTTTTTCTCAGTACTCAGTGCTCATATACCCAAGGACTAGATTAGGGAGATACCCAGCGAGGAGTAGATGGTGCTGGGACACATCAATCAGGTACACCCTGTGAGATCAGTCAGGCTTTTGCTCTTAAGTATCCCTTCACCAGTAGGTTGACCATACTGCAAGTTGCGGTCTGCCTTTGCTGGCCAGACATGTTTTGAAAGATGCCCTTGCCATAAACCTCCTTGTGGTTATGAACTAGTAATGTTTTGGGGCAGATAATCAGTTCATTAAGTACAATTAGACTTGGTCAGCTGAGGATAAAAATGACCATTTAATGTGCATCTACTTAAAACCAGAACCAAACTTTTATCGTAAGAAAGAAAGAAAAATTTTGGTTAAGATTTATCCCAAAAAATGAAACTAAAATTTATGAAGGTTTCTTAAAAATTTTCATTTAATAATGTTTAGATTGTATTACAATTATGCATTAGTTTTTAGAACAAAGAATGAATCACATGAACTTTGTGTTGATAGTTTTTCTGATGAAATGTATCATTTTATCATAATATTATGTTATCACATATTAAAAATTTCTTTATTTAATTTTTACAGGTTAATTATAAAGAGAGGCTTTTCTTCCCCTAAAATATTATTGAAGTCTTTCTCTGCTTTTCTAAGAGTCTGTCTTAAACCTCTGATATCCACATTATTTTATTTAGAAGCACGAATTATGCATAACTGTTGTGTTATTTTCTTCTCTTATTGTAAAAGTCCTAACTCTGAGAGATTTTTATTTTTTTATTAAATTAATTATTTTTATTAAATCATAACTTTGTACATTGATGCATTTATGGGGTTCAGGGTACTGCTTCGATATACAATATGAAATGTTTACATGGAACTAAGTAACACATTCATCACAGTTATACTCATTTCTTAAAAGTTTTGAAATGTACCATTCTATCATGCACATTAGGTGAGATCCCCCCATCTGCCAGATTTTTAAATGTTAGATGGCTTTGCATGTGATTTAAGTGGTTTTCTGACATTTCTTTCATCAACTTCAGAAAATGTTCTATTTTTTCCAAGAATTGTGATTTCAACTTGTTTTATATTTGCCGTGCATTGGCTAATATTTATAATGCCAACATTTATTGGCATTACCAATAAAGGGATTACCATGGTAGGCAGAAATAACTGCTGGTATTGAAGAGAGAGCACTATTTGGGCAGGTACTGTTTTTATAAGAAGTCAGTTCACTGGTAAATATTTCTTATTATGATGACTTTTGCAACTTAATGGGCTAAGATAATTGGCTCCTTGGATGAAGACCCCCATCTAGGGCCATATCGTTCATCATATTACTTGTGGTGTGTGGGTTCATTCTTCAAATCCCCAAGACCAAGAACCTACTGAAGAAAAACATTATGGTAACACTTTAAATAGTTTCTTTTTGCCACTAGTTCTTTCTTTTGCCTTTCATAATTTGCTGTTAAATTCACTCATTTGATGTCCTAATTTCAGTTTTGTTTTTTTCTCTGTTTTAGAATGTTAACTCTACTTTAGAGTTTTTTTTGTTCCCCTGTTAGACTGTCTTTTTCCAAAGCAGGTACTGTGACTTATTCTGATTCAGAATGTCTGAGATGAAGGCTGGCTTTGTGTATTTGTAGAAAGCACAGGTGATTGTGTTGTTTAGGTAGGATTTTGAGCCATTATGATAGAAAATGCTAAAGCTGTATAATGTCACCTCCAAAGGCAGTAGGATTTTAGATTTATTTTTTCAAAGAATAAATAGAAATGAAGTAATATAGCCCCCCAGTGGCATTTCTAATCATCAT